ATCACCATAAAAACAAAAGTCTGCATCTATATTGTCGTGATCCGTTCGATCTTACTTATATGGTTCTTAGACAATGAGAGTAAAGGATATTAAAAAGTTCTCTACTTTTGACCACTCTTGTCTAAGGTACATTTTACGGATCCGTCGAGCGTATTAAATATTACATGATCGCACCCATCTTTATTCAAATACCACTTGAATTAATAATATTATCACAGAGCATCGCCTTCGCTTAGGGCCGTTGTCCACCACTGACACCCATTTCGTTACTTGCTACACTTTGTCTGGATTGATACGATTAATACAGAAAAGATTTTGAACGTATAGGTGGACAAGAAATATATAGATTTAGACGATAGGAAAAGGAAGGAATAGTTTCCATTATTTTCGACGATGGCATCAGACCGCGCCATTTGGAAGATTCTTGCCTTTGTAGCCCTTGGAGCCAGTCTAACCAGTTATGGTGAGAGCTATTAGAAGAAGAAGAATTCTTCCTCCTAAATATATTCAGGTTAGGGTTATTCAGGTTAGCAATGCTTTCGGTCTAATCGACAAATTATTGGCATTGGATCCTTCATCTCGTCTAAGTGCTGAGGAAATGTTTGATCATACTTTTTTTGTACAGAACTAATGCCTGCATCCGACATTTGGGTTCTTATAAATACGAATAAGGTTAATAAAAAAATAGTTTAAATTAATTTATTATTAGCGTTATTCTTTGATTTATCAGTTTGCACTGTATTAATGTTGATTTTGTTGCTATTGACAGTATTTTTGACAGTATTTTGTATTTTTCAGATTAATCTTTTCGAATATACAACTGGATGTGGTGCTCATAATGGTCGCATTCCCCGTCCACATTCTTCAAATAACGGGCAATTAATGGATATAATTTTTTAAATAAGATAGGAAATTTAGGAAATTGCTGTATTTTCCGTATTTTGTTTTGTGCTAGAATTGTATTATTTACAATATGAATTTGGTTGTTTATAATTATATTTTTATAATTTTGCTTTATTTGTAATATATTCTATTTGCATATCGTGGAAAGAATTTGAGTTGGAATACATTATGTAGTTTTCGTTGTTCAGTGCAGTAAAAGAAAAATAAGCCTAGGATTCGATAATATATGCGTGTAAATTAGCAGCACGTTTATAAGCATAGCTTCACTTCTTTTAATAATTCGATTATTTTTATTTTTTCTATGCTTATAAACGAGCTGCTAATTTACACGCATATATTATCGAATTTATTTTTTCCTTCTTCCTATGAATATTTATTTTCTATATATTTGCTGTAAGTCAATTTTTCTGAAAATTCAAAGGCGACAATGTTTCATTCCATTAATTGAACTCTAACTATAAAAAGGATTCATGTTGGCAATAATTTAATGATATTGGCATTAATTTTAAAGCAGTACTTCAGTGTTGGGAATTCAGTTCAGAATTCAGTATTAACAGTTTTGTCATTTTCTTTCAGAAATTTTTAAAATCTGCACAAATTTTTTCTTATATATCTTAATTATTTTTTGTTACTCGGTGTAGTAAAAGTACTATGAATTTCTGAAAATAAATAGTTAAGTATATTTGAAATTATGAAATCAATAAAAAATGGTTACTGCAAAAAGCTATGAAAATTTCTCTTTATCACAATATTTGGAATTTTCTAAATTTTACAATGAATTTTACAATTTTATTCTAAAATTTTGTTTTGATGTTTTATGTTTTGATCGTCGTAGACCATTTTTGAAATAAACCAGAATTTCCTACAAGAAGGATTAATATTAATTCGCTTGCATGGTAATTTCCAGATTTATTTATAAATAAATTTTCGTCCTTTCAAAGGTATCACTAATAAAATAAAATAATTTAACTCCGTGGATATTTCCTTATGTTACCACTTCTTCATTTTCGCATGTGGTAAAGAATCATTACGAGGGAATTGCTTGGGGATGGAAGTACAAAAGGGTTGTGACCACCGCCAGCATTTTGTAGTAAAAAAAATGCAAGCAGCCAAACCACTTAACCATATTAAGTCCTGCAAGAAATCTTATGGCTTTTCTCTGAGATTCAATGATTCTGATCTTCTGTTCCATGATCATAAATTTGAAGTTTTTGCTTTAAAATCCTTTTTTTTTGAAAATAATACTTTTGGATAGAATCTTTGAAAGTGTCTTCACGAACCAGGATGAAATTTATTCGAATACTACAAAATAATGAAGAAAAATGGAAGAACGAGTTACGAAATAAAGAAATAGAAAGTTATAATCCATTATTTCTTGAAAATTTTCACTTAATCGTTTTTTACGCACCAATTTTCCATTCTGAATAATTCTTTCTCAATGATTAAGATTCTTGTCATTCACTACTTTTATTCAAATTTTCTAATTTAATTAAATAATGATCAGGAAAAGAGTTTTATTTTTATCACTAAATTCAATGGATTGTCGATCCAATTTCTAATGATTTTCAAATCTGAAAATTTAAAAATTTATATATTTCACTTTTCTCAATTTTAATTAATAATTTCTTAAAAATAATTTTTTTAAACTTTTTCTTTTTGATATGGGCAAAACATAAATATTTATCTTATCCATCGAGCTGGTGGCATTAGCGTATAGAATGGCTCAGTGGGTTGCTGCTCAGTTTGGAGCGCCGATACTGAAGTTCTATTCCCCGTAGGAGTAAAACTATTGAAAAATCCGCGATGCTAGCGACTCACTTGTACTTCTATCGCCAAGGGACTGCCTAGCATACTTGTCCAGTGGGGCAAGTCAGCGGAGCGAGTTTTAACCAGCAATGGTGAGGGTTTTCTTAAGAAGAAAAAGAGTGGTGAATTTTGCCGGAAATGATGGTAAAAAATTATAAACTGTAAAGATTTAATAAAAATTATAATAATAGCAAATAGTGGTGATGGCAACAATAAAATGGCTTATCATTTCTATTCGAAGCCTGCTAAATCTTAGTAAAGTAAATTACATGTTGATAGAGGTATTGCACCCCCCGAATTTTTTAGTGACAGACTTGCTCTTATCAAAACCCGAATTCTTTTATGATACGATCATCTCTATATTACCCACTCAGCTATTCAGGCTACTTGCTTACTCAATAATGGTATAAAAATAAAAATTTTATTCGAAAATTTTTGCAAAATAAAATATTCGTAATGTTTTGCAAAAATTTCTGCAAAAGAAATTTTCAGAAAAATTTTTGTTGAATACCGTTCAAATATCGCTAAAATCAACTTAATTTTTAGAAATTATGCATTTTTTTTCGAATTACAAATTATTGGAAAATTTATCCGAAAATCACCAATGGTGATTTTAAAAAAAGGACTGGATGAACGCATGTTATAGCATTATTGATATGCATTTATCATTTTTTAATTAAATTTAATTTTTAAGTAAAATAATTTTTATATATTTGTTTATTTGTCTTTTCTGCGATTTAACAGTTATTTTTTTCTTTTTTTCAGATGCGAGCGCAATTGCTTTTCATATCTAATTTTTTCAGATATTGAAGACTCTAAATTTTTCACTGATAAAAATGAGAGAAAAGTAGTTTGTAAAGCCGTATATCTGAATTAATGGGTAAATGATGTAAGATTGTGATATCTCTTTTTTATGGACGCATCTCTTCTGATCCGTCCGATAGCTCAATTTATTCGCAAAGTTTAATTCGCCCAATTAATTACCGTAGAATATCGAAATAACTTAGGGTAATTTTGCATCTACAAAATTTTAAATTCTATTAAGCCTCACATCGAATGAAAGTTGAAAACGAGTTTTATGCGGAACCATCAATAATTTATTCACAAAGGTTTTTGCCTTATTTTAATAGATAGATGAATGAATGAGGAATGGAATGTAATCATTGAAGGAATACTGCTATCGTTTGGTTAGGAATAAACGCAAACAGGTCTTAACTAATGATTTCGCTCAGAAAATCTTTATATTCTCAATTCTAAAACTCCATAATTCCACCGATCACCCTACGATAATTACTAATCATCCTTTTACTTTAACTACAATCTTCGATTTAATTATTTTTCGATAATTTTGCAAAATCTTGTCATTGTTGCCATCCAAGCATTTGATAATTTTTTTTTTGAAATTTTATGCCAATAAATTTTCACACTCATCACATTTGCAAGGAAATCAAAATTTAAGACGCATCACCTGCAATTTACGATTATTTAACCTGATTTTTTGCTGCATAACGCAATTGTGGCTATTTAATTTAATTTAATCTAATATTAGGTCCTAACTATTGTTATTTAGATATCATTTCGAGTATCATGGTTTGGCTTCTGCCACTGCAAAAATAAGTTCAAAAAATCCATTGGGCGTTTACTTATAATTTTATTACTACTAAATAAATAGTAACCTTTGGCAAGAGATTACTCCATTTCACTAACAATGAGCGATCCTGATCAGAAATGATGTGTGCTAACTGCTTAGTTACATAATTCAATATTTTTATCTCAATATTTACTTAAGACTTCAATGCTTTTAAGAAAATGTATTTTTTATTATTACTTTCATTTTCATAGGGACCCAAAAATTCCTTTTGCTTAATCCTAAAAAATATGGAATGGAAGGATTGCAGTGGATGGATTTTTAAGTGACAATTTTTCTTCAAACTTCTCTATATGCGCTTAATTTATATTAATTTATAAATAACAATCTTGTAATAATGGAACATTAAGTTTTACCAACCGATATACAATTTTTTTAGGTTCGAATTACCGAGCGAATTATAAAAAATTTTAAATTTTCTGGAAGTAATATTTAATCAATAAAAACGCTGCAAATTATGGCCAAGTGATGACGACATTGCCAAAGATTTCCTTATCAATCAGTTTCTTGTTAATATTATTTTGTTTAAACACAAGTAAAACTTTCATTTGCAATTTTTAAAGCTCTTTATGAACTAAATTTTATTAAAATTCTTATTTGAACTGTTTCAAGGTTTTAACTTTTTTCTTGAAAAAAATTAAAAATGGATTTCAACAAAAAAGTAAGTAAGTAAAAGTAAAAGTAAGTAAAAAAGTAAGCCAAAAGTTTGTTTATTCTTTTATTTAATATTCGAGCAAATTGTTCGAAATATTGAAATATTAATTTTAATAGCAAATTTCCAGCGAGTTAATTATTCTAATAAGGTTTAAAGTTCATTATTCGCGTGCATAACTTACTTTTTTCAGCCTTTGGTAAAGATTTTTGCTTAAGAAATTTCTATAAACTTACAAACAGCGATTTTTTTCAACGTACTGAATTACGTTCGGTCGAAATCTGCGTTGAACGTTGTATTGACAATATTGAATACTGTAGAGCAATTCTGTTTGTAAAAGAAAACAATAAAGTATGCTTTCGAAAAAGAAACAAAATATTTAAAGATCTATTGCAACCAGAAATCTTGGTATGGGGTGAGATGGGAGGCGCAAATCGCTTTGGTTGCTGTAAACATACAGGTAAATTACGAGCAACGCTTTAGAATCACCTACATTTCTTGGCCAAAGTGACTTTGTGGTATAAAGGGTGTCCTTATGCTATTTTCCTTATGTAACCAGTCGAGCCCGCCAAACCAGAAATGGTAAATGCTATTAGAAGAAGAAGAAATTGTCCAAAGTTAGAAAGTTATTAGAATCGCTCGCTCTAATTCTTTATTGTTAAGGAACTTTAAGACTGATGTTCCTGAATATTCGCTGATTTCAGGATAGAGGTTCTTGCCAATTATATCGTGTCAATTCACTTTCGCCTAACGTTGATATTATCAGAAACGATCCATTCGAAGCGACAAGTGTTTTAATAGAAGTTCTAGATAAATGTATATCGAATGAAACGGAGAGTTTTTTAAATAAAATTGATCCGGAATTGGCGCAGAAATTCATTGACTGGTCAAAAAACCTGAATGCTGATAAACCTGAAGAAAATACCAGTAGCTTTTCAAATATTGATAATTGGGGTTTGAAAAATGCAAATCAAAAACTCTTGGCTTTCAAGGATCATAAATTTATATACTGAATTAAATATTAATGTTCTAAAATGTTTTAATTAGTGCTAAAAATAGCTATAAACTACCTATTTTCTATCGTTACTAAATAAAAGCTATTTAAGTGATTTTTAAGGTAGTGAATTACCTCTGGAAATGAGATCCAGATGGCACTACGATCCATACTTCGAAAAGATTTCGAAGCAAAAATATATCATCCAAATAGCCAGTGCAATGAGCCTAACCTGAAATAATGTCGATTATACAAAAAAAAATTGGTTATTCTTGGTTCATATTATAAAAAAATTTTTTGTAGAAGAAATAAATTTGATTCGTAATCCGAAAAAACTCATAAATGTAACGGAAAAAGCTGAACGGATAATTCAACCACCACTAAATTTGAATGCAAAATTGGGTGAAGTTGAACGCGGTCAGTTAACTGCGCGTTCACAGGTTATCTAAATCTCTTTTTTTCCTTTTTTTCTTTTTTTAATAATATTTGTGGCTTTTTTTCATAAGTGTGGAAATTTCCTTAAATTATTTCTTTTTCTTTAAAAAAATTAAAAATTTTTATTCTTTCTATTTTTATTATTTAATCCTTACGAATTCATTTTGGCCAAACAAAGTATAAATATATGTATATATTTATATACATATATTACATACATATGTATATATATATATACCATTTTGCGAATTTGATGGGGTAATAATATAAATTGGTGGGGATTTCGAGAGCTCTAAACGATTCATGTTAATTTTCATGACAAGGAATAACTTTATTATATTTTACTGGTGAAACTCGATGTTTGGTAATTTTAATCAAGTATTTCGAACGATACATCAAAAACAATTAAGAAAACTCTGTTGGCTTAAATAGTTTAAAAAATAATCTAAAAAATAGTCTTTCAGTATATTGTACCACCGTTCCCTGAAATTCCGACTCGTAACGTCGAGCAGCGTCAATATCTGAGCCCTAATCCAATTCAGCCTCAGATTTCATTTCGTGGAGTTCCTTTGCAGTGTAGAGGTATATTCATTCAATTCATTTTTGTGGCTTTTTTAAAAAAATTCTTGTATTTTTACTGCTTCAATTTTTCCAGCTCTATATAATTTAATATTGCTCCTCATTTACAGGAGTGAATTGTTACGCTCCATCTGCTATGGCAATGATGCAATTCGACTCGCGACCCTGTGCAACATATTTAGGCCATCCATGCTCGCCTGCACCTATGGTGCTCAGCAACCCATGCGGCCCGGTAAATCTTTAATGGAAAATAACTGGCAAATTTTCTTTTATATAATTATCTTTAAATGAATTCAAAACATTATCAAATGAAAAATTATTTTATCTTCGTGAATTATAAGTTGTATCCATTTCAATTAGATATTAGAATACTAGATAATAAAATATTAAAAATATGAAATGTGAAAAAATCTTAGAAGAATGAATAAGATTTTTTCCCACGCAGATTATCAATTGTCCATCGCTTTATCAAGGGCAAGCACAACCACAGCAAAATCTGCCTTCTGTAAACAGTTACGTGAAGCCTGCAGAGCAATTTCGTCCTTCAGTCAGCGTTTTTAGGCCAGAAATATCTACTAGCAGTCCAGCTTGGTCAGAATGGACACTGAGTACACCGTGCAGTGTTACATGTGGAAGAGGATTTATAGAAATGAGACGGCACTGTGTGCAGCCAGGCCGGTGTGCTGGTAAGATATTTAAGACCTTAAAGATATTATTTTTGAAGGCTTATCATATGCAAGAATATGCAAGGGTTAGTCTCTTCGATTAGATAAAGTTTTATTAATCCATATGAGAATCCTAGTTGATCCGATGTTTTTAATAATAATTTCCAACATCAATCACCACTCACTCCAATTCAAGTTTCGCGAATTAGAGAAGAGATTCTGTCTTACAATTATACATAATACTTTTATATTCTATTCTATTTATTCTAAAATAAAATAAAGTTAATAGTAATATTGACTTATTTATTTTTTTCATTTTCTTTATTATATAAATTGATTCATTAAAAACTCTTCAGGAGAATCATTGAAAAAAGAAATATGTGAAAGAAATATTTGTGAAGATTGGTCGTTGTGGTCTCCATGGTCACAATGTTCGAAAAGTTGTGGTGGGGGAGAGCAAAAGAGATCACGCAAATGTTATAAAGATGGTGGTTGCGATGGTCCTTCAATGGTATGCATGTAATAAAATAGTATATTTTTCTAAAAATTTTAAGTTTTGCAAATTCTAAGAAAAAATAATTCAATGGTAATAATTTCTTTTGAAATTATTAGGATGTCCATATCACTGCCTACAGTCGTGGTACTCAGCAGTCCATGTGGCTCATTAAAATCGACTATTCAATAGTAATTATTTGTTTAAATTTCAATTTAAGATGGTTCAACCATGTAATACAGAAACTTGTCCGGAATGGTCTGAGTGGGGAGAATGGGGAATATGTTCGGTGACTTGTGGAATAGGTGTACAAAAGCGTCATAGGTATTTTTCAAAGCTTCCTTTCTTTATTCTATTTTCTAGCTTATAAATGATTCTTTTAAAATAAAATAAGTCTGAGTTGACAAAAAAATATGTCTATGAATAAACTGCAAACCTTAGCACTTAAAGAAAAACCAACAAAAACAAATGGCACAAAGTGGAATGGATACATCTGGTTTTCTAGTTCATTTCAGTTGATTTCATGCTGGTTTTATTATAATGAAAAGCAATAACGAAGGGAAAAATGGCAAAATTTTAAAGACTCCATATTAGATATGGAATATATACTTTCCAAAATTTCATGCTTATTTCATCTTACCTTTACCTTTCACCTTTTGCGATTATTTTTATGCAAAATTTGAAATAATGTAATTAATAATGTAATAATTATAATTATACATAGATAAAATTTAAAAATACTGCTAGTAAATATTTTTTAAACTATCGACAGAGAATGCAAGGGCACCTTACAATGTCCAGGAATGTCGACAGAAATAGAGCCATGCGAGCAAAAGCCCTGTCCAGTATGGCTAACCTGGCAAAGTTGGAGCGAATGTAGCGTAACATGTGGAGGAGGTGAAAAGGTAACCATTCCAAAAATTATTCGAACGTTTTTTTTCCCTGTTTCAAAAGAAGTGAAAGAAAGAGAATTTTCAGTTCCGCACTCGAGACTGTGATGGCGATAAATGTGAAGGTGAATCTAAACAAAGCATTCGTTGTAATACTCAGCTTTGCCCTGAATGGACATCTTGGACTCAGTGGAGTGAGTGTACAGAGACATGTGGGGATGGAGGTACCAAATTAAGGACCAGGTACCAGAAATTGAAAGATTAGGCATTCCATAAAGATCTCTTCAATATAGATATTTCACAATTATTATAATTCGCCTGTTTTCCGAATCTGCTACTACAATAACCTCAAAAGCAACCAGTGTGGTGGTGCAGGTCAAGATCAAACTTTATGTCGTTTACCAGTTTGCCCAGAATGGAGTGAATGGGAATCGTGGTCCAAATGCAGTGCTACCTGTGGCCACGGACAAGAAATTAGGCATGATTATTACTGTATTATTCAAAAACGATTTTATATTAATTGAAAATTTCTCTGCCTTTCTTTTTTTGCTAAATTCATACTATAAAAAAGTCATATAAAATCATACTATACTATAAAGTCATATTATACCATAAGAAAAAATACTATAAAAGTTAGAGATTGTTACATCAGCTTCTTTTTCTAGTCAATTTCTACTTAATCGACAATCGCCATAGATTCACTTGACAAATAAGCCTCTAACGTCACTAGGAATTTGACATAAGGTTTATAAAGGAATTAAATTTATAATGGCCGAATTGAAGCAATATACTAATCGACCATTCTGAGCTACTTAGAAACCGGATCCTGATATCTAACTGTGCTATTTTTGTTAACAAATTGTGCTATTTTAATAAATTATGTGAATTTTGGAAATAAAATTATCTAATCGATGGGATTTGTATGACGGGATTGATGAATTCATCTGTATATAAGAATATAATAATATTTATATTGCAGAAGGCGCAAATGTCTACCAAAAGATGCATTTTGCAAAGGGGGTGACCAGGAATTCAAATTCTGCCAACTAGCTGTTTGCCCATATTGGAGTGCATGGACGGAATGGAGTGGATGCTCAGTAACATGTGGGATAGGAATATGCCAACGAACTCGAAAGTTCCACTTTTATTTAAAAGCTTCATAATTCATCATTTTTTATCCATTCCTATCATTAATAATAATTAAAAACTGATGGTTAATGTGATCGACAGATCAAAAACGGGCTTAGATAACGGAAAATAATTCAACTTTAACAGCAAATAGTCCAGAAGTGGATAGATTAAATGGATATATCCACTTTGTTGTATAATTTATGTCCATTGTCCATGCTACTGTTTATCCATAATATTTTGGACTTTTAATCGATAAAATCAATTGATATTTTAAAATTATGGGCTTATTTAGTTGCATTCATGATGATATAACTGGTCTCCCAAACATCGACGATATATTAGCTCGAGCAGGAGCTACTACGGAAATTCCGAAAGGTAATTTTATATTCTTAATTTTTTAAATATGCATTAAAAGCTTTTAGTGAATAATACAGATAAAATGCAAAATATATTTTTATAAAAATATTTTATAAAAATTATAAATTCAACTTCTTTTTCTATGTTTTCCATCGCCAAATAAATGAATCGTTGCCGAAAATTTCTAACATTACAAACAGCGATTAGAGTTAGCCAAAATGTAGTTGGTAAACACTGATCATCTCTCTTGCTTTAGATGCAGCGAAAGCCACATTAATTGCTAGCAGCAAAATGAAAATGAAAGAATTAAGCAATAGCACATTTTTTCGACGATTCAAAGATTCTGAACCTGAAACCATCAAAGTGATTTTAAATTATTACTTTAATTTTGAATTATTTTATTTTAATTTTTTGCGTAGCATTTTGTATTTTAATTATCAGTTTAATTATGTTATTAAAGTCCTGAATGGACCAAAGTAGTACTTATGGTAGTTTTAATAGTTTTATTTATAAAACCAACTTGTCGTGTCGCATTCAAATACTGCTGGATTGGACCTTATTGAAAAAATTGTTTGGTAGGTCCCCACATAATTTAGATTTATATTTTTTGGTTCCTCTTCACAGAATTCTATTTTTTCATTCAGGTGATACAAAGTGAACTAAACAACAAAAGTGATATTAGTAAAATTCTATTAAAAAACGATTCTGAAGGCTGCGCTGGTGTCAACTCGGATCGGAAACAATGTTATGCAGGTATATAATCACGTTCATCGACGGCTTAATAAGTTGCCTTAATATAAGAATCTAATTGTAGGTCCATGCTGTGAACTTGGCGAATGGGGAGCATGGAGTTCCTGTAGTGTCACATGTGGTGAAGGAAAGAGACGCAGGTATGTATCCTTGATATATTGTGCCTGAACTTTTGGGATATTGGTTCAAGGGACGCTTACAACCATTGCTGACCTTAATTAAATTTTTCGTGTCATAAATGGAACTGAATTCATTTTTTTCGGTAGTTTTATATCTAGAAATGCGTAAGAAATTTTTTAGAGCTCGACCGTGCGCGGCCATCGAAGAGACTGCTGATCAGGATTCAAGTCGTTTACTACCAGAAACCACACAAATAACAAAACTTCAATCAAGTCTGATACCTGTCCCACCATCATCACGACTCGTAGAATCTGTTGATCTGTCAGCTCAACCGAATCCATTTTATCGCCAGACGATCATAAATCCTTTTACTTCAGGTATTTTTTTTCTAGCAAGTCGTACTATTACTGACATTGGCTTGTTCCGGTGCTTGATCTGATGCTGACTGGAATTAACTAAAGCCAGTCTTTTCTCTATGCTCTAGATCCATACACTATTAGGCCTCCACCTTACGACACCATCACAAAATTTAGTATTTAGAGATATGTGTGGTTTCCCATGATTAGCAGCGAAAAATATGGCCTAATTAGCGTAGGTGACCTTCAGAAATGATATATCAATACAACTGGTGTTAGCGAAAGTGGATTTCCACATGACAAGTATGAAATATTTACCTAATGCAGGCATGAAAAATGGAGAGCTTTTTACATCTTCCACTTTCAGTGGCCATATATCGTAGCCTTAAAGAAGAATTGCAACTGTCCAATTCGAGTTTCATTTATGAGAATAATTTCACACAGAGGTTTCGCCAAGTTGAGAAAGTACTTCTAAAATCCATGGAATTTCATTTTTCATCAGAGCAATGGATATAAGAGTGGGCTCCAATTAATTAAGATTCGACATTTCTTGAACCAATGAAGAATTTCTATAGACTGGTATTTTACTAGGACCCAGTATATCAGATGAAAAAAATCCCATCCTATCTTATGCAGTGAAGAATTACTATAGACTGGTATTTTATTAGGACCCAGTATATCAGATGAAAAAAATCCCATCTTATTTAATGGTCCAGTTTTTTCGGTTATCGCCGCACGTATTTAAAATTAACTTAGAAAAAATAAAGAAATATGAAATATGAAATCTTCAGTTTTTTGTATAAATATGAAAAAGCTTAAAATTGCAACATTTACTTCATTTAAAAAATATCATATTTTATGGTTTGCGCCGTAAGTTTTAAATCTGGTATGAAAAAAGAAATTTATCTTTTATAAATAAGCTAGAAAAATCATTTATTAAGCATATAAAATCGAAATCGAACGGTATTTGGAATAATATAAGTACCTAATACGAGAGATTGTTGAGAACTCTTAATTAATCTGGTTAATCAGACGGTCTTTATGGCTCGAGGGCTTTATGGCATTTTGCTGGTGCATCGATTTGCCATCTTGCCTGCTTTTTAAGCACATTACAGGAGCATTTCTCTTTCAAAAGGATCAATTTTTAATCAGATTCGCTTGATTCTGATTTAACTCGAAATTTCTTTGAATTTCCCGGAAATTAAGATTTATCACTGAAATGAACAACATATTTCTTTGGAAATTAATTTTATTAGACTTCTACAAAATATTTTACGATTTTACCTTATTCTTGTAAGCTGCCAAAATATTTATATATCAGGCACTCAAGCGATAGTACCAATTCAGCAATCATATGCACCTCAAATTTATCGGAGAACCTTAGCCGTTGACTCATTTCCTGGTTTGAAATTCTTTTTCAATTTGATTTTCTTTTTATTCGGATTTTTTTAAACATCATTTCATTTCATTTTATTTCATTTTTATTTTATTTTTTGTTCGCTGCTTTCAATTTATATTCTGTTTGACTGTGTAATGTCATCCGTTCTTACGACATTTAGCATCCTAATTTTAATATTTTAGTACATATTTTAATATTTCCTATGTTAAACATCCTGACATAAGCTGTTTAAGAGAAAATAATTTTAGATCCCTATCATTTCGGTAGATGTCGATGCGATGGAGAAACAATGGAATATGAGAACTGCACTATGGATGCGTGTTTGGAAGGCGAAATGGTTAGCAAAGCATGCAGCTGGTCGGAATGGAGTGATTGGTGCAGTTGCATAGGGTCATGCAGTCTAGTGACTTTTTTCAAGCATCTTTACCTAAAATATACAAATAAAAATGAGAAGCGAGCTCCAGTAGTATTTCTGGAACATAAGGGATAAGATGATAAGACTTCTGAAGAATATATTTTATAAATATATATAATATAATATATTATAATATTTTAATATTGCCAATAAATACCCTTTTTGTTTCAGCTAATGGAATAACTACGGCATATGCCATAATGATATAATAGATAAAAATTATTTAATAAATTGCTTAACTCAACTTTTTTCACGATAATTTTTATTCTTGTATCTCTTGTATTTATTCTTGTATAAAAATTCTAAAAAAAATTTTGTATCTCTTATTTTTATAAGATTGGTAGATTGTTCTTTTCCATTAAGCAATAACTGAGCAATCAATTTTATTAAATAAATTGTGAATGCAGTAATTTTCTATCTAAAAAAATTTACTTGAAGGGTAGCCGATTAAGAACCCGACACTGCCAACCGAAATCTAGCCAGTACAGTGGAGACTGCCGTTGTAATGGCGATTCAATACAAACCTCTTCTTGTGATGCAAACGTAGGCGGATTTTTTAATAACTTTCTCCTTATTTATTCTTTGGAAGCTGAAAAACCGATCGTTTTGAAAGACTTTAGGGATTTTGCCTCAAAAAGAAATAAGGACTAATTTTTCTGTCGCTAAGTCTCATTCCCCCTTCAAATTTCTCACATTAACAGTGGAGCGAAATTAGTGAAAATTGGTGAGCACCAACCATCTACCTTTGCTATTGTTCTATAAGATTATCTGAATATTTTTGCAAATGAATGTTGACATTTTTAAGAAATAAATCAAGTAAAGAAAAACATCAAGGAAATTTGCAATGATTCTTATTAATATTTAAATTGCATAATAATCATAACAGTGGGGATAGAATGGCTTAGTGGGTTTTTACTCAATACCAATGCTGAAGTTCTATTCTCCACAGGAGTAGACGTGTCTAAAAACCCTAGTGACTCACCTGTATTTCTATCGCCAAGGGACTCCCTGGCATATTGCTCAATGCGATAAGTCACTAAAGCGAGTTTAACCAGCAATGGTGAGGACTATTTAAAAAGAAATCATAACAGTAAAATTCCAAAATAACCATGAATTTATTTATATTTAGAAAAAATAAATAATTTCGACCTGATAGTTGATTATAATTTTTTAGAAATGCATAGCAAGTTCAAATTTGGGTCCAGTATCTCCCTACTATTATCCTCGTTCTCCAGCACATTATTTATCACCATCGTATCCTCAGTCTACTAGTACATATCATAATCCATCATTGTTGAACAATTACCCAATGAAACCCATTTTCTACATAAGATCACAGCATGATTCAGTAACGAAAGATAAACATGATATATCAATTGGATGTACGTGGTCGAATTGGAGCACTTGGAGTAACTGTTCTGGAGACGTACGAAGAAGAGAAAGATCATGCATAGGAGTGTCATGTTTGATTTCTGATTCATTATTCATACTGTATA